GCTATCTTCAGGAAAATGAGCATGAAGCCAAAGAAAGCCGATCAGCAAGGGTTAAAGACGTCTCGCAATCCTAAAATGTGCAAGTAGGCTGACCACGCGCTCTCCAGAACGCGCTGATTGGAGAGTGAGCCACTCAGACCTCTAAAGCCCACTGGAGCCCCGGGCAGCATCCCCCCACGCTAAGCCTTCGCGCGCCCCCAGCAGCCATGCACGCCTAGTGCTGAGCACCAACAAGGATGCGCACGGAGGACCCGAGTGCCGAGGCGGGGACGTTCGCAGCGGCGCCCCTGGCGGGGGCTGCGCAGTGAGAACAGGCGAACGCCCCCCACCGGCAGGGCGGACGGAAAATGGAGCGCGTAGGCGCCGCGGGGGAGTCACTGCGGTGAGGATGGCTCGCACACCGCTTCGGGCACCCGCGGGCGGGCTCGCCGCTGGGGCGCACCTGGGTCCCCGCCGGCTTCCGTGGGATATCTGCAGGGCGACTTCCTCCAGATTCAGTGAACGTCCTGCTGGGGGAGCCCTTCCCAAGCAAAAGGCCAGCTCCTGCGTGCCTCCCAGGTGTCATGGAGTAGGGGCAGAGTCTGCGAAAGGGTCTTGGGGTGGGAGGAGCCCTGGGGGTCACTGAATGAGGCAGTCTGGCGGGCGTCCCAGGCCTAGGGGTCCCGGGGCCCTGGGGCAGCTGGGGAGCCCTGCTGGCCGCCCTGTGCGGGAACTCTCTCCCTCTGCAGGTCTGGTCGGAGCTGGAAGCGTGGGCTCTGTTGCTGGGAAGATTCCCCTCTGATTGGAGAGGGGCGGCACAAACCTGGACCCCGCGGGAGTACAGGACCCGCAAAGGCAGGGACTCCGCCCCTGTGCCAAGGGCATCCCGGGGGCCGGGCTGCTGGCTTGGCTGCGCTGGTCATGGCTGTGGTTGCTGCCGTTGCTACTACAGAGCAAGCGGCCCCGGTTCTTGAGCCACACCTGCTCTTGATGCTCCTGCAAGTTGAGTCTGACATCCAGGGCCCGGCTCCTCCGGGGCGGTTACCTGCTCTTCTCAAAGCCTGTCTCCAGCTCCCGCTCCCCTGCTGTAGACTGCGCTCCTGCCGCCGCCTCCTGGATGGTGGGGATAAGTAGGTTCTGGCATCCTCGTGTCCGCGCACACGAGGCTCTGCCCACAAGCGCTGGGATTTAATCCCACCCTCCACGCTGTGCACATCCAGGCCCACCCTGCGGTTCCCACTCCTCCTCCCCAGGAGTCTTGGAATCATCGATTAATCCCTTCATTATTGACCAGCGGCTGCAGGCAAGCCCCCTGCCGTCCTGTATCACTTTAGCGTGACCTCATCAGTCTTTGATTTCTTCCTCACTTTCTGGTACAATAAGTGACTTGTATCCAGTCTCATGTTGTACATTTTTGTTTTCCTAGACTTAGAGTCAGCCAAATTCATTGGTAAATGTTATCTGGAGAGTTCAGCCATGGAAGTGTGCTCACTGTTACTGGGTTTTCATTGCTTCTGATTTTTTTTCAGTGAACAGAACTAGAAAATACGTATTTTTTAAAGAGTAAAACACAATGTGAGTTCATACTGCAATTTCCAATTCAGTTTTAAGATTACAGGATTTTTACTTAAACTTCCTTGATTTTATGCTATGTCATTTTTATGCTGAAAATTATGGTTTCTAATGATGGAAACATAGTAAATTAATAAAAGTATCAATACTACCATGTGACTACTGAATGCAGTTTATGATTTCTTTCTTTTTTTTATTGTCCATGGCATATCTCTCACTTGGGATGTATAGTCAAAACGCTGTGTTTTAAAGCCACTTTAAGTAATTGCTTTCTTTATGTGGTTACACCACACACGTTATATGCAGGAAGGCTCATTCATTTCAGTTTACTTTCAAATTTTAAGGGAGCATTTGTTTTTCTTTTGTGACTTAATTTTTTAAAATCACATAAAACATTTATAATCCCCCCAAACTTTCTATTTATCCAGTTTCAGCCACAGAAATCCTGCTCCTATAACTTCTTGTTCACCCTGTTTCTTTTTCCTCCCAATAGAAAACCATTAAAACAGTTTGATTTGGGGTTTATCTGTCAGTTTCTTTTGATACTAGCAATTAATATCTATCTATTCACTGTGAACTGAATTGCGTTTTCCCAAAATTCATATGTTGAAGTGCTGAGCCCCAGGGTGATGGTATTAGGATGTGGGGCCTTAGGGAGGTGATTGGGGTTAGATGAGGTCATGAGGGTGGGGCCCTCATGCTGGGATTAGTGTCCTTCTAAGAAGAGATACAAGAAAGCCTGCTTGCTCTCCCTCTTCAACATGCGAGGGCACAGTGACAAGGCTGCTGTCTGCAAGCCAGGGAGAGAGCCCTCATCTGGGAATGGAATCCACTGGCAGCTTGATCTTGGACTTTTAGCTTCTGAACTATGAGAAATAAATTCCTGTTGTTTAGGCCACCCAGTGCATGGTGTTTTGTTGCGGTGGCCCCAGCTGACTAATGCTCTACCATCTACCTACCTATCTGTCATCTATTTCCCCATCTCTTACCTAAAATGTACCATATTATAAATAGTACTCTGCTTGTTTCCTTTGCTTATTTATTTTCCCCCATATCAGTACATAGAGACACTTTTCATTCCGAATGACAGGTGCTCCATATTCCGTTGTGTGGCATAGTTTATTTAATCAGTTGGTCCTGTGTACTGTTTTAAACCTTTAAGACTTTTCTTACCATTTGAGTCATTTAAATAATTTTTCAAAATGAATTCAAGTAAAAAAAATCCTCCCACAGTTTATTTTTAAAAATTTAACTTTTGTTTATCAGAATTCCTTAAATGAGGCATTTTAAAAAATTCCGAGAGGCCACAGTCATGATGAGCATGCATGAGGCAACTGCAGTTGCCGTCAGATGAGAATGCTCCCTGCTAGCTCTTCACGTATGACCCCAGGCCCCCTCAAGCCCCTCACTACTGTGGGGATTGTTTCCTGGGCATCAGCTCTCTGCCCAGCCTTGCACCAATAATCTCACATGGTGCAAGTTTACTGTAGAGCCAAATATGGGTCCTGTAGAAGGTGCAAAGTTTTCTGAAGCAGTTAAATGTGACTTTGGTGAAATCCTCTGTGCAACAGGCACATTATAATGGAACAACTTGGGCTGGGCGCTGTGGTTCATGCCTGTAATCTCAGCACTTTGGGAAGCTGGGGCAGGAGGATCACTTGACGTCAGGAGTTTGAGACCAGCCTGGCCAACATGGTGAAACTCCCTCTCTACTAGAAATACAAAAATTAGCCCGGTATGGTGGTGTGTGCCTGTAGTCCCAGCTACTCAGGGGCTGAGGCAGAAGAATTGCTTGAACCCGGGATGAGAAGTTTGCAGTGAGCTGAGATCATGTCACTGTACTCCAGCCTGGGCAACAGAGTGAGACTCCATCTCAAAAAAAAAAGAAAAGAAGAAGAAGAGGAATGGAACAATTTGCATCCAGGATAGAGTATGATTGTACCAGACAAATCGAACATGAAGCCAGGAACACTTGGTCACACTCAGTACTGTCTGCACATACTCTTTCCCTGCTCATTCTAAGAGTTAAATTTGATCAACTCATGAGCTCTAACTTGGAGTTCAAAGGAAATACAGAGAGTAGAGGAACAAAGTAAATGGCAGCGTGAAGAAAGAATCAGACAAATCCAGAAGGTGGGGGCATTCTACATACAAACTGGCCTGATGTCTTCGCCGGGTCAATATTGCAGAAGGTAGCTAGGGCTGGGAGAATGTTCCAGATCGGCACTGTCCAGTAGAATTTTCTGTGGTGACAGAAATACTCTATCATATAAGTGCTACCAGTAAGCCCTGGAAATGCGGCTATGAGTCTGAGGAGCTGCATTTTAAATGCTATTTATTATTTGTTGATTACAAATGACTTTAGACAGTGGCATGTGGAAAGCATCTACCATGTCAGAAAGTGGATTATCTACATTTAAAAGGCCTAGGCTGGGCACGGTGGCTCATGCCTGTAATCCCAGCACTTTGGGAGGCCTTTGGGATCACCTGAGGTCAAGAGTTCGAGACTAGCCTGGCCAACATGGTGAAACTCCATCTCTGCTAATTAGCCAGGTGTGGTGATGGGGACCTGTAATCCCAGCTACTCAGGAAGCTGGGGCTGGAGAATCACTTGAACCTGGGAGGCGGAGGTTGCGGTGAGTCTAGATCACACCACGGCACTCCAGCCTGGACAACAAGAGTGAGACTCCTTCTAAAAAGAAAAAATGCCTAGAAGTCACAGCAACTCCATGCAATAAGTGGTTCTTGATTGGATCTGTGTTTGAACAAACCAACTGTATGATCCTGTAGACTAACTGGGGGAAATTTAAATGTGATTTGGGTATTAGATGATATTAGGGAAATTTTTTGCTCATTCTCTTACATGTGATAATGGCATTGCGTTTATGTAGGTAAATGTCATTTTTTTTAAACAATTCACATTGAAAAGTCACAATGCCTGTAATTTACCTTAAAATACTTTAGTCAAAAAAAGCAAATGGAGAAAAATGTTAACAACTATGAAATCTAGGTTCATTCTCTTTTCTGTTCTGCTTGAAGTTTTTTATAATAAAAAGAAAAACCCCCAAACAGAAGTTAAGGATCATTGTAATTACATACTGGGTTTTATTGAACAAAAGTTGAAATGTTTTCATGTTTTTTTATTTTATTTTTCAAAATAAACTCTAAATATAAGCTTTTCTCCCCACAGTTGCATGTGGATTACAGTTCCTGCTTTAAGCAGACTTACCTTTAGTGGACTACTTTTTTGGTGCCAGTATCTTTAGATAACATGGAGCCTGTATTCCTGGGTAAAGTGCTTACAAACTTTACAACATTCTAAGAGATTCCTTTTTAAATGAGAGTAAAAACATTCCTTTTGAAAGCAGAGCCAAGGCCAAAGATCTAAATTTGGGTGTTTCATATTTCCCTGCAGACTGGCGCTGCTGGCCCATTTCCCTGGTGACTCACTCATGCCATCTCTCATCACAGACGCTGAGTTATACTGGGTCACCGAGCAGGGCTCCTGGACTTCCTGTCTCCCAGAGGGGATAACGCTGGTCTCGCAGGAGTTAGTGAGGGTTACATGCACTGGTGTTGTCAGCCCCACAGCAGCCTCAGGCTGGGTCCTGACTAGCCACTGATGGAGGTGTCTCCATTGCAGAGAGAGGATGGGGGTGCCACACCTCCAGAGCTTCCTTTGGCTCTCAGGTTCACTGTGCAGGCCCTTTGCAAACAAAAGTCACTGGAGGAATTTCTAAGAGGAGATTAACTAGGGGTTGAGGGGTCTGGACAGCCAGGGTGGTGGGTGAGGTGGCGGGCAGTACAACTGCGAGAAGCCAGTTGGTCTGAGCATAGAGAAGAGAATGGAGTACTGGAAGATATTATTTTGTTGCATAAATCCTTTAACTTCTAAGCAATATTGCAATTCCCTGGAGCTGTATTTTGTGCAAAGAAATGAGCCCGGCTTTATCCTCCTCAGTGCTCTCAACCACTGCTGAAGGCCATGGCCTGCACCTAGAATGAAACTGCACCTAGAAGCTGTTTTAAAATGCAATGACCGTGTATGATGACTCCCCGTTTCTCTTCATCTCCAGCCCAGCTCCTCATCTGAGCATTAAATCTCAGTATGCTGCTGCTTACACAGCGACTAACATGGATTTTGCAAAGGCCACCTCCAATGTGGCCCACTGTCCAAAATGCAAAGCTTGAGACGCCCGCCACACTTGCCCCTCCTTAAACGAAAGGCATCATTTTCCAGGCAGAAGCCTACGGCATTGTGATCCCCTTCCTCCTTCTCTTGCCTCCCAGAGCCAGTCCCGGCTACATCTGGTCAGTTTCTCCTCCACTGCCAGACCCCGCCCACTCTCGTCTCATTTCGCTGTCTTCCAAACCCTTGGCTCTTCATCTGTCACCCCTCTACTCAACATTTCTTCCACAGCTGTTTGCTCTTGGGATCCTTAACAGGGCCAAAACCTTACCTGATCTGATCCTTGCCCAATTCTCCTGCCTTATCTTGTCTCTTTCTCTGCTCTGACTCTAGTTCAACTGTGAAAAACGGACTTGGCCAGAAAGGGGATTATCTAGCAACCAGCCTGTGGGACACAGATTTCAGTAGAAGAGAAAGTTTGTTCTGGTTTCTCATCACAAATCTACCTGAAAAGCAGAGGGACACCATTAATGGGATCATTGGGTTTTGACAACCTGAGCTGGATCCTTTAGCTGCCAGTCACCTCGCTTTTCTGGTTTGCGGAACTCCTGCCTGTGTGTGTGGTTGGTGAATTAGGGTGGATGTGTGGGTTGACCTGGGTGAGAGTGTGACGTGTTTGAAGGCTGCTGGCTTTCTATTGTTCCTTGAACCTGGATAGCAGCTGCATGGCATGGTAGCTCAATCTTGAAATCCTGGCTCCTCCATTTAGTAGTTCTACAACCTTGGGTGGGTTTGGAACTTCCCTGACTTTCAGTTTCTTCATCTATAAAATAGATGCAATCTTACCTGCTTTGCCTTTTCCCTAGGGACTGCTTTGGGGTTCAGATAACTCATTCAGCCATCATGTATGGTGACCACATGGGTTACTGTCCAAACTGGGCCAGTTTTGAGTGGGTCAGGGTATGTTCTTCATAATCATGCTGAAAGTCACCCTCCATAGGGAGGACCATCTCTACACCTTGGACTTTGCTTACAGGTCATCACCTGGGTGGAGGTGAGCAGGGTTGCCATTTATCCAGAAGGCGATGTCAAGTGTGTTGTAAGGGAATATGTGCTTTTGGTCCTCATGGAGATTATTTCAACTCCTCAGATAATCCAAGATAAATAGTGGATTGGTTTCTAGAAGCTACTAAATTACACGCTTTAGTCCTGCTGAGATGGAACAACCCCCTCTTCCTTTTAAGGGTTTGCAAACCCACAAGTATGGAAATAAAGAAAATCCCAAAATCCCTGTAAGAGATATTACAGGCATCTAGGTAGCCCCAGATGTAATTAAGTAACTTGTTAAACAAGAATAGTAGCTTAAGAATAATAAGCAAGGGAGTTAAAGCTCCAGAGATGTTTGTTTTCCCTAAAGAAACTAAAGATAATGTCTTAGCATATGTCCCCGAATTGCCTTTCAGAGGCTTGGACCCCCCTGAGGATCCGCAGTGAATGGACCAGCTGGCATAGAGACCCCAGATGAGGGGGAAACAAACCAAAGTCCATCTATTGTCTTTGGTTCTCAGTTTCTTCCTGAGGGGCCTCCAGAAAGCCGCTCTCCCCCGCAGGTTAAGATTTTTCTATTGATTCCTTAATTTTTTTAAAAAAAATTATTTTAAGTTCTGGTGTACATGAGTAGAATGTGCAGGTTCGTTACATAGGTATGCACGTGCCATGGTGGTTTGCTGCACCTGTCAACCCGTCATCTAAGTTTTAAGCCCCACATGCATTAGGGTATTCATCCTAATGCTCTCCCTCCCCTTAAAGCCCACCCCTGACAGGCCCTGGTGTGTGACGCTCCCCTCCCCGTGTCCAGGTGTTCTCGTTGTTCAACTCCCACTTATGAGTCAGAACATGCAGCATTTGGTTTTCTGTTTCTGTGTCAGTTTGCTGAGAATGGTGGTTTCCAGCGTCATCCATGTCCCATGCAAAAAGAACTCATTCTTTTTTATGGCTGCATAGTATTCCATGGTGTATATGTGCCACATTTTCTCTATCCAGTCTATCATTGTTCGGCACTTGGGTTGTTTACAAGTCTTTGCTATTGTAAATAGTGCTGCAATAGACAGACATGCACATGTGTCTTTAAAGTAGAATGATTTACAATCCTTTGGGTATATCCTCAGTAGGGAGATTGCTGCTGACCCCCTAATTTTTAAAGAAAGCTTCTCTTCCTTAACCAATTGCAAATCAGATCCTTGAATCTACCCATGATCTGTGAGCCCCATTCAAGATGTCCTGTCCTTTTAAGCTTACATCAATGTGTAACCTCTGTGTATTGATTGAGGATTTTGCCTGCAGCTTCCGTTTTCCTGAAACTTACTCTTCCTTTAAAAAGCCTGACCTGTGAGCCATCCAGGAGGCCAGATCTTGAGCAGTTAGCTGTTCGGGCCTTCTCGCTTAGTGCTCTGCAGTCACCCTCTTTCTACCACGGCAGAAAGCTTTTAGCGTGAGTATCTGGTTTGCTGTGCAGGAAGAGTGACCCCAAGTTTGGCTCTATAACGTTGCCACTGTGTCTGGCAGATTAGAAATATTAGTTCTTTGAAGGAAAACCTTCAAAGCGGGAACAAAGGCTGCATCAAAGACGGAAGACACTGCACAAAATCCCAGTCACCAGCGTGGACCCTGGTCCATTCTGTTCTCTTTAATCTTTTTTGAGGGGGATGGGGTGGGATGGGGTAAGAAATTTCCAGTAAAAACTGGAAAACCTGATAGAAGAATTCTAAAAGAGTTCTTTGTCTTCTCCACTTCTTTCTGCCTTTGTCCCTCAGTTTTCCTCGGTCTCTTTTTCTTTGCCTCTGTCCCTGGTCTCGTCTTCTCTCCCAAGGCCATCTGAAGAACCTCAGGTGCGGGTCAATTTGTCATGCATCTTGCAGTGGGACAGCAGGAAACGGCTTGGTGGGACCCACCCTCCATCTGAGGGTGAACCATCCGCTACTGTGGCTCTGGGACCAGGCGGGATAGAGTGAAGCGAGAGAGGCGCTCTCCTGCGGGCAAAAATTTTAAAGGCACCAAAAATTCTCAGTCGTCAATATTTTAATGCAATATTAAAAAAGTAGTTAATGTGAAATTTCCACAGTGAGAAAAACGTCAAAAATCGAAATGAGAACAGGGTCAGTGCCAGTGATATTGCAACCCGAGGGAAAAGGAAAAATTTGTAATATCAATTCTGTCTTTACTTAGGATTTGGACATTTTGTTTGTCATGGGTTTTTGGGGGGATTAAATCTGCCACAAGGAAGCTGTAGAGCTGAGGCACCGTGGGAACTGCCATCCCTCAGGGGTCGGATGTGCTTCCACAAAAGGGCTGGACCCATCCATTGCAAGCTTCAAGGTGCAGGGGCAGAGGCGGCCCAGATGGAATTCCCAGGGCGCTGCGGAGGGGAGAAGGCTGACCCTGAGGATGAGGGCGAGAGAGGAGGATGGGCGCGGCCCCTCTTCTGGGCAGGGAGCCCTGCTGGACGCCCGCATGGGGGCCCCGGAGACTCGCTCAGGGCCGCGTGGGAGGAAAGGCTGCAGCCCACGCGTGAAGAAACAGGGGCGTCGCTTTGTGCACGCGGACCGTGACAGTCTCCAGGCGCTCTGGCTGTGGCCCCTTCAGAAGCACCTGCCAAGTCCCCTGCAGCTCCTGGCATCCTGAGAGCCACCGCCCAGAGGAGCCTCCGCAGGGGAGGCTGGCCTGGGAACACGCCGGTAGCGCCCTCTGGCGGTGGAGAGCAGAGCTGTCCTCTCGCACCTGCACCTGCACCTGCACCCGCACTGGCACCTGCAGGCTCTCGCTCAGCAACGAAACCCCGCGCGGGCACGTCCGCAGGGCTGAGGCTGGCAGCGAATTCCCTCCCTCTCTAGGGTCTCTCCTCCCGGGCCTTTCCCTCTGGAGCCCTCCTAGGTAGGGGGGTCAGAGGTCCCAGGACCAAACAGCTGCTGCGGTTTCCCCTGGGGCCTGCTCTCCTTGTACCCCTCCCTCTGCCTCCCGCCCTCGGTCTGTCCCCTAAGGCTGCTAGCGCCGGGCCCTCTTGTCCAGTCCCAGCTCTGTGCTGAAGGGGGCTCACGCAGCCCCTGTCATGTTTGTGGCTCAGTCCAACACTCTGCCCTGGAGGGTCTGCAGAACCCCTTTGTTGGCACAGAGGAGCCCACACTCGCCCCCTCACCCGGGGTCCCCTTGTCTTGGGAGGGCCACCCCACAGACCACTCACCCTTATCCCTCCCTCTAGACCCCCACACGAGGCACAGGACAGTTCCACAACATCCCGGCCCTGCTGTGCCCACTTGGGTGCAAGGATTTTATTTGGGAGGTGACCCTAAAGGAAGCAGGAGAGAGGGAATGGGGCAGAGGGCGACAGGAAAGGAGGCAACACCAATATAAGGTAGGACTTTGAGGTCACCACTGTGGGCAATGGGACCACATCCAAGGATTGTTCCCCGAAAGGGCAGGCACTTTCCACCAGGTCCCGTCCATCACTGGTTGAGGGCGGGACGCAGGAGGCATCAAGGACTTGGGGAAGGCACAGAGACACACAGCAGCTCCTGCTCATTCCTTAGGTCTCAGAGCCTCCTCCGCCTGGCTGAGACCCCGGGTGCCGGTCCTGCACTTGGAGCTTCTGGGTTGTTTCCACACCTGAGCACCTGTGGACAGGATCCACCGTAGTTTATGGTCTGGCACACAGATTGGCCTGCACCAGGCCCGCAACAACTGCGTTTCAGATAAAAGTATAACTCACAGAGGACA